TATAGAGCACAACTGCCCCATAGAGTTTCCAAGGAGCGGCTGGTGGACTCAAACTGCTGACCTTTTGATTAGCAGCCGTTGCTCTTAACCACTGCACGAGTTCTAATGGCTTCCACGTGGCTTTCCTACCATAATAGCTCTTACTCCATTTGTCAGGGATCCAGTGTGGGAGTTCTGCCAGCTGCTGAATGTAACTGCTGAGTATATATTCCAACGACGCGTTCTGGAACTGGGTAAATCACTATAGATGGATTCACAGACCCACTGGACCTACTGTGAGACTGACATGAGCTAAGACTCCGTTAAGGCTCCTATGAATTCATACTGACACAAAATAAGTAAACCAATTGAAAGTTTAAGGAGGAATGGGTTGTGCCTCCTTTTTAGTTGTGGGAGAAGCCAGATAAAATAACTTTTCCTTCACTTTAGAAGGAATATATTGACATGCCCCACACCACTGGACCCGTAGAAATTTCACTGAGGTGGAAGGTGTCTGAATTTTTGTGGAATTAATTTCCCATCCTCTAGCACGCAAATGTTTTACCAACAAGTCCAGAGTCATTGACACTTCTTCCTTACTAGGCCCAATCAGCATGTCATCAATGTAATGGACCAGTGTGACGTCTTGTGGAAGGGAAAGGCAATCAAGGTCCCTGAGGACTAAATTATGACATAGGGCTGGAGAGTTGATGTAGCCCTGAGGTAAGCAACTGAAGGTGTATTGCTTGCCTTGCCAGCTAAAGGCAAACTGCTTCTGATGGTCCTTTGAAATAGGTACAGAGAAAAAGGCATTAGCCAGATCAATAGCTGCATACCAGGTTCCAGGAGATGTATTAAATTGCTCAAGCAATGAGACTACATCTGGAACAGCAGCTGGAATTGGAGTCATCACCTGGTTAAGTTTTTGATAATCCACTGTCATTCTCCAAGATCCAGCTGTTTTTCACACAGGCCAAATAGGCGAGTTGAATGGGGATGTGGTGGGAATCACCACCCCTGCATCCTTCAAGTCCTTAATGGTGGCAGTAATCTCTGCAATCCCTCCAGGAATGTAGTATTGCTTTTGATTTACTATTTTCCTAGGTAGGGGCAGTTCTAATGGCTTCCACTTGGCTTTTCCTACCATAATAGCCCTCACTCCATTTGTCAGGGATCCAATGTGGGAGTTCTGCCAGCTGCTGAGTATATCTATTCCAATTATGCATTTTGGAACTGGGGAAATCACTACAGATGAATTTGGGGATCCACTGGACCTACTGTGAGACTGACATTAGCTAAGACTCCATTAATAACCTGACCTCCATATGCCCCTACTCTGACTGGTGAGCCACAGTGATGTTTTGGGTCTCCTGAAATTAGTGTCAGTTCAGAGCCAGCATCCAATAATCCCTGAAAAGTCTGATTATTTCCTTTTCCCCAGTGAACAGTCCCTCTTGTAAAAGGCTGTAGATCCCTTTGGGAAAGGCTGGGAGAAAGATTAACAGTATACATTTTTGGCAGTGTATTGGAGTCCTTCTTCAAGGTGACGTGGCCTTCCCTTCATTCAAGGGGTTGCGGATCTATAAACTTGCTCAAGTCTGGGAATTGACTGAGAGGTCATGACTCTCTCTTCTGGCAATTCAAGTTAGGCTGCTGTTCACTTGATCTAGAATTCATCTGCTTGTACAGATCAAGTAAATATTTATTAGATTTCCTATCTATTTCACTCCCAGGGATACCATGACTAAGTAGCCAACACCCTAAGTCCATATGAGTCAGACTATTCTGATTACTGCTTGACTCTGCTATCCATTATGGTAACCATGCCCACCTTGTCTTTGTTGATTGAGTGCCACCACTTGGCCCCCACTATTATGGACTCCAATCAGCCCTATTGTAGTTAGGTGTCTTAATTCAGTTAGGGCAGTTCCCACTGTCAAATCTGACTTACATAAACTAGCAATCACAGCAGTCTTCAAGGACGCTGGGGCTCCCTTCACAAATTTGTTCCTCACCGTTGTGGTGAAAGGTGTGTCCCCTGGGCACTCCATGTGTGGGTCTGTGGGTCTTACCTGATAAATCTACTCTAGCATGCCAATTTCCCTAAGCCTTTGGATAACTTCTTCTACAGTATACCAAGGCAGGTCTGGTACTTCAGCTTGATTTAGTGTAGGCCTCTGTGTAATCCATGCTTCAGTGACCCAACCAAATAAACTATTAGATCCTTTCCTAACTTCTCGAGCTGAAACACTGAATGAAGAATCTGTGCTTAGTGAGCCCGTATCAATAAACTCAGACTGATCCATCTTTATGTTCCTTGCACCATTATCCCACACCCTTAATAACCATTCCCACACATATTCCTCAGGTTTCTGTTTGTACATATTAGAAAAGTCAAGCAGTTCTTTTGGAGTGTAGTGTACCTCCTCCTGGGTCACTCTGTACTTCACCTTTTGGGGCTCGCTGGGACTTAAGTCTAGCTATAGATCTAGAAACAAAATTGGTGAGGAAATGTTTTGAGAACATTCAGCATTGTCTTGTAAAGCATCTGCCTCAGGCGATGTCCCAGGCAATGACTCAGACAAACATGTTTTAGATGCAGCTGTGTTAATCTCATTAGATGGGAGTAGAGGGGCTAATAGTTCTGTTGGCAGGAGTGATTCAATGGAATTTAGGGGCTCAGTGTCTCCAGCTTCCTGATTATCTTCCCATATGTCCCCATCCCAGGTTTCAGGATCCCAATTCTTCCTAATCAATACCCTCACTTTAACTTTAGATACATCTCAAGGCTGGCAGTTGAGTTGGCATTGTAATTCAGCTACTCTTACAATAAGACTTTGGGTTTGGTTTTCAGCAATACCAGCTCTGTTACTACAAGAAATAAGGCTTTCTTTCAAGGCACAAGGGGATGGAAACTTTGAAGTCATTTATGCAGTGATTGAGCTTTGACTCTGAAGCCCTGAGCTCATCATCTCTTTCTTTCACCAGTCTGTCTAGCGAAAGTAGGATCAACAACCAGCTTCTTTACACTTCTCATTATGACAAAATTGTAGAAATATATCATCTATGCAATCACCAGAGCCTCATCTTTCACCAATGCCTGATCTATTGGTGGTGATATTTTGCGTATTTGTATCGCAACCTCATACCATGGATTAGCAGTGCCCTCTTTACTGCTGGAAGCAAGGTCATCAACATCTTTAAGACTAACCAGACCTGAGAATCAATTTAGAAAATTCATCCTTACAATTTTGTTTCTCTAGAACCACTCTCGGTACCAAATGTCTTAGGCTGGGTTCTCTAGAGATGCAAAACCAGTAAAGTGTATAAATACATATAGAGAGATATATATTTATATCAAGGAAATGGCTCACATGGTTCCATGGGGCAGGAAAAAGGCTTCTCCTGACTCACGTAGCTGGAGGGGCTGGTGAACTCAAGATTGGCAGACCAGAAAGCAAGGCTGTTGCAGGCTTCTCCTGACTCACATAGCTGCAGGGGGTGGCAAACCCAAGATAAGCAGGCCAGAGATCAGGGCTGTTGCTCACAGACTGTGAAGATCGAGGAGTCTCAAGATTGGCAGGCAAGACCACAGGCAAGCTGCCAGCTCAAGTCCCAAGAACTGGAGGTCAGAGGAACAGGAGCCAGTTGCAGGATCCAGAACAAGCAAAAGCCCCAGCAAGGCAAGCAGGAAGAGCTAGGTGGCAGAGGGCGGAAAGATGAAGGCTGAGGGGGGCGGTGAGCCGCCACAGGTCCTGCCCCCACCAGTACCACAGCAGATCCCATCGTGGGGATGATCGCGTGTCAACTCTCAACAGGGAAGTGATCACAACACTATACAACGGCCAAAACACTGAGAATCATGGCCCAGCTAAGCTGACACACAATCTTAGTCATCACACAAGGTACCACCATCAGCAGTAGGAGCTAAAACAGTATGTGCCCCAACACGAGCATGAGAAGGACACAATGTCATGCGTGGGGGATTCCCGCCAAGACACACCGCTGCAGTCTAGTCACAAGGAAACATTAGACAAACAACACTGAGGGACGTTCTACACGACTGGGCAGTTCTTGTCAACAGTGTCAAGACTGTAGAAGATGAGGAAAGACTGAGGAACTGTTGCACATCACAGGAGACTAAGGAGACACGGAGACTAAATGCATGTAGAACTCCAAATGGGACCCTGGACCAGAGACCGCCACTGGGAGGAAACTGGTGAACCCCAAATATGGGCTGGAGTTCAGTTAAATAGCAAGGTACCAATGCTAATTTTCTGGTTTTGATCATGGCACTGTGGTTATTAAGGTGTTAACACATTAGAGAATGCTAGGGGAAGGGTACACTGGAACTCTACTTTCTTCAACTTATCTGTAAGTCTAAAATTAATTCAAAATAAAAAATATTTTTAGACAACAGCAACTTGAAAGATTAGATAGGAACCTTAGGGGGCAGTGAGTTTATGTTAATGAGGGGGAACAAGTCATAAAAGAAGACTTGAGAATGGCTGCACAACTCGAAGAATGTAATCAATGTCATTAAAATGTACATGCAGAAACTGTTCAAAAAAAAAGAGAATGTTGACAGATTGTGATAAATGTAACTAATGTCACTGAACAATTTGTGTGGAAACTGTCAAATGGGAACATAACATGCTGTGTAAACTTTTACCAAAAACTCAATAAAATACTACTAAATTTTTTTTTTTTTTTTAAATCCAGGATGATTACTTTGGATGCTTAAATCAAACAAGAACCAAATTGTGATTACTCCACTTTTCTAATTATGTGATCTTTTCCTTTTCCAAAGCAACTGAATGCCACAGCAACTCTTAGGTCTTGTGCCTAGAACACACCCATTTGCTACTTATTTCAAAGAGTATTTCTCCAGTTATAAACACTGACAAGACAGAAATGAACCTTTCACTGCCAGAGATGGGATGAGCAAAACACCCCACGAGCACATGAGGAGTGTTTGGTCATGTGTCCCAGGACCCACAGGGTCTTTCCCGATGGCCTACCTGTCTTTTCCTTGATCTCACAGAGCACACTAAAGAGAGCAGACTTCATCCGATGGCAATTCAGAGCATGCTTTCTGCAAGAGAGGTGACAGAAAGAGAGAGGTCATCTTGTCCATAAGTGAAGACTCTCAGTATTGAGAAATAAAACCAAGCCCAGCCTGCAAGTTCTGACTCTGAAAACCCCTCTTATGGAGATACAGAACATAGCATTTCATATGAAACTGATTTGTGCAAATTTAAAATACAGCATATAAGAATATTCAAACCATTTCCTTTCACATGTACATGTTTAAATAATGCAATCAGTGCAAACTGAAGTAATGCAAATCACTCATCAAGAACAACTGGAATTCCAAGGTCAAATGATTGAAAGTCAAGTTTCCACAACTGCCCGCAGCGTCCATTGGTGCACAAGTAGAAACCTGAGTTGCCTTTTCCCAGTCATGTCTCACCACTCTTGGGTCACAGGATATACAGCTGTTCACAGGCAGACACAGTTCCTACCCATGCAGAAGACCGCACGCACACGCACATGTATGTATGCACACGAGGAAACCTTCCGGTGTGGCATGCGCTTTGCAGTGAATTAAACTGAGGTCACATCAGAGTAATGGCTGGAAGGCTTATTGGAGTTTGCACGTCTCTGAGGTGACATTAAAGAGAAGACTGGAATGACATGGAGAAGTCAGCCAGGCAGAGAGCTGACGAGAGCATAATTTAGGCAGAGAAAACAAGTGCAAAGGCCTGAGGGAGAACACACTTGCTGTTTAAGACCAGCGTGGCTGTAGTCTAAGGGGCCAGGGGAGAAGCTGAGGTGAAGTTAGAGAGGCAAGTAGGAGCCTGTGACACAGAAGGACTTGGCTTTTGTTTGCATGTGATGAGAATTGAGGTTGGCAGAGTAACAGCCCCCACAGATCTCCATGTCCTATTCCTTGCGTTCTGTGAATATGTTGCCTTACAAGGCAAAGTGGACTGAGGACATCATCAAGGTTAAGGACCTTGAGAGAGAGATTATCCTGGACCATCCAGGTGAGCCCAATCTAATCTCACAAGTCCTTCTAAGTGGAGACCATTTCCCGGCTGCAGAGAACCAGAGGTGCAGCACAAGGACTCCACCTGCCACTGCTGGCTTTGAAGATGGTGAGGCCATGAGCCAAGGCAGCCTCTAGAAGCTGAAAAAGGCAAGGAAATGGATTCTCCCCAGAGCCCCCGGGAGGAACGCAGCCCTGACGACACCTTGATTTTGGCCCAATGAAACCCATGTCTCATAAGCTGTGAGAGAATAAATTTGCGTTGTTTTAAGCTACCAAGTCTGTGATAATTTGTTATAGCCATCGATGGTAAATTAATATAGGAAGCAAAGAAGAATTTTATAAACAGTGGTTGTCATGTGACATGAAATGCATTTTTTAGTGTTTTTTTAAATTGATATAATTCATATACTGTAAAACTTACATTTTTAAAGTGTAAAAATCAATGATACTTAGTATATTCAAAAGGTTGTGCAACATTGCCACTATCTAATTCCAGAACATTCTCATCACCCTGAAAAGAAACCCATGCCTATTAGCAGTCATTCCCCATTCCCCTCCTCCACCCCGGGAACAACCACTGATCTATTTTCTGTCTCTAAGGATATGCCTGTTCTGGATATTTCATATAAAAGGAATCATACAATAAATGAACATTTTGTTAATCCATTAATCAGTTGATGGACACTTGGGTTGTTTCTACTTTGGGGCTATTATGAATAATGTTGCTATGAACATTGGTGTACAAGCTTTAGTGTGGGTGCATATTTTCATTTCTCTTGGAGTGGAACTGCTGGGTCATATGGTAGCTCTATGTTTAACTTTTGGAGGAAGTGCCAGACTGTTTTCCACATCAGCTGCACCATTTTACATTCCCAACAGCAGTGCACATCCTTGCTAACATTTGTTACTTCTGTTTTTCTGATAATAGCCATTCTAGCGGGTATGTACCTAGTAGGGGTATATCTCACTGTGGTATTGATTTGCATTTCCCTAATGAAGAACTCAGCCGCTAACCAAAAGGTTGGCAGTTCAAATCCACCAGCCACTCCTTAGAAATCCTATGGGGCAGTTTTACTCTGTCCTATAGGGTCACTGTGAGTCAGAATCGACTCAACAGCAATGGGCCAACTGGCAATGACTAATGCAGGAGGCTTGGTGGCACTGTGGTTAAGTGCTCGGCTGCTAACTGAAAGGTCAGCCTTTCGAACCCACCAGCCACTCTGTGAGGGAAAGATGTGGCAATCTGCTTCGGTAAAGATTACAAAACAAATAAACCAAACCCACTGAGGTTGAGTCGATTCTGACTCATAGCAACCCTATAGGGTTGTTCTCCCTTACAGCAGCTGGTGGATTTAAACAGCTGACCTTTTGGTTAGCAGCCAAGTGCTAACCAAAACTAAAGATTACAGTCTTAGAAACCCTATGGGGATCACAACGGAGGGTTCTGGACAGAGCTGGAGAAGGATGTAGAGCATAATTCTAACTCACAAAAAAAAAAAGACCAGATTTACTGGCCTAAAGGAGACTGGAGAAACCTCGAGAGTATGGCCCCCAGGCACCCTTTTAGCTCAGTGGTGAAGTTACCTCCGAGGTTCACTGTTCTGCCTGGGAGTGGACAGCCCCGTAAAACCAAATGAGACTAACGAGGTACAGGAGTCCACTGACAAGGGCCAGAAGGCAGAAGGGGACAAGGAAGCTGGTGATAGGGAACACAAGATTGAGTAAGGATATTGTTGATGTGTTGTGAGATTGTTAACCATTGTCATAGGGCAACATTTGTAGTAACTGTTAAATGAGAAACTATTTTGTTCTGTAAGCCTTCATCTTAAGTGAGAATAACAGCACAATTGGAAGAGCGTAGTCAATGTCACTGAACTGTGTATGTAGAAATTTTTGAAACGGTGTATCTTTGGCTATGTGTATTTTCACCAAAAACAAAACAAAACAAAAAAAAGGTTGAGAATTTAGAGGGTTAATATGTTGTGGGGTTGTTAACCAATGTCATAAAACAACATGTGTACTACTGTTTCATGAGAAACTATTTGTTCTGTAAGCCTTCACCTGAAGTACAATTAAAAAAAAAAAAAAAAAAAGAAACCCTGTGGGGCAGTTCTACTCTGTCATATAGGGTCACTATGGTCAGAATCGACTCCATGGCACACAACAACAGCAAATGATTTTAAACTTTTTTTCATATGCTTATTAGGTCTTTGTATATCTTCTTTGTAGAACTGTCTATTCAAATCCTTTGCCCACTTTCTAATTGGATTGTCTTTTATTGTTGATTTTAAGAGTTCTGTCACTGATTGAATTATGTCCCCAAAAAATGTGTGGATCAATTTGGCTGGGCCATGATTCCTGGTATTGTGTGATTTTCCTATATGTTGTAAATCCTGACTCTATGATGTTAATGAGGGAGGATGGGCGGCAGTTGTGTTATCGAGGCAGGACTCAATCTACAAGATTGGACTGTATCTTGAGGCAATCTCTTAAGACAAGAAAGAAGCCAGCAGAGAGACAGGGGGACCTCATACCACCAAGAAAGTGGTGCTGGGAGCAGAGTGCGTCCTTTGGACACGAGGTTCCTGCACTGAAATGCTCCCAGACCAAGGAAAGACTGATGCATCTCAAGGAACTTCCTCCAGAGCCGACAGAGAAAGCCTTCCCCTGGAGCTGATGCCCTGAATTTGGACTTGCAGCCTACTGGACTGTGAGAGAATAAATTTCTCTTTGTTAAAGCCATCCACTTGTGGTATTTCTGTTACAGCAGCACTAGATGACTAAAACAAGTTCTTTATATTTTCTGCATACTCAACCCTTATTAGATATGATTTACAAATATTTTCTCCCATTCTTTGGGCTATCTTTTCACTTTCTTTGAAGCACAAGTTTTTAATGATGATGAAACCCAATTTATCTATATTTTCTTTGACTGTTCGTGTTTTTGGTATCCTAAGAAACCATCGCTTAACCTAAAGTCATCAAGATTTACATCTATGTTTTCTTCTAAGAGTGTTACAGATTAGCTTTTACATTTAGGTCTTTGATCCATTGTGAATTAATTTTTGTTTATGGTGTGAAGTAGCGGTCAGATTTCATTCTTTTGCATGTGGTTATCCAGTTCTCCCAGCGCCATTTGTTGAAGAGACTATTCTTTCCCCATTGAATTGTCTTGGCACCCTTGTCAAAATCCATTGACCATAAATGTATGGGTTTATTTCTGGACTTTCAATTTTATACCATTGATCTAGTTGTCTATCCTTAATTATCTGCATTTTAAAAAGATCACTGTGGCTGCTTTGTGGAGACTGGATTGCAGGAAGGCAAGGGTAGAACCAGGAATACCAGTCTGGAAGCTACTATAGCTTGAATAGGCCAGAAATGATGCTGGCTTGGTTTAGAACTACAGCAGTAGACATAAAAAGTAGACAGATCTTTGATTTCAGGGATGGAATCACCAAGACATCCTAATAAACTGGACGTGGGGTTTAGGGAAAGAAAAAATTCTAGGATAACTTTTTGATATAATTCATATACTGTAAAATCGGGTCTGAACAACTGGATGGATGAGGAAACTAGGAGGAGCAAGTTTGGGGGAGCAGGTTGGGAGTCAAGGTTGTGTTTTGGTCGTTACACCAGGAGTATTTCATGTGCTTATTAGCCTGCTGAGTCTACAGAGATATACAATATAAAAACAAGGAGTCACTGGTGTAGAGGTGGCATTTAAAGCCGCAACACTTCGTGAAGTCACCACAGGAGGATGTAGCTAGAGAAGGGGCCCAGGATGCAGCCCAGGAACATGAACTTGAGGGATCAAGCAGGAGAGGAGTCACCTACAAAGGAGACTGGGACGACCTGCCAGTGAAGAGGAACCAAGAAAAACATTGTTTCAAGAATGAGGAGGAACCCTCTGTGAGAAGTGCTTCTGAAAGGTCAAGCAGAATAAGAGACCTTGGATTTAGCAACATGGAGGTCACTGCTGATCCAGCAGACGGAGAAGGCTGGGAGAGATGGTGGAGAGCTAGTGGAGGCAGTGACCA